CAGCAAAGAAGTGTACGTTTACGACAGTGCTACGGTGTCTAATGTACATTAGCATTTTGTACAGTCCGTAAATTAAATCCCAAACTGAGATACAGTTTCAGATTCAGAACTGTTAATGAATTAAATCTGGAAGGGCATGCAATAAAGACAGTGGTGTATTTTTTTATTATTATTTTTTTTTAAATAGATTATTCATAAAATGACATCGCTACTACTGGTTTTGCATGCATTTGTACATTGCCACATTTTGCGGTCATGGGAGTGCTTTGATACTGTCGGCATTGGTTCCTTTTATTTACGATTCTAAACTATTCTGTTTTTTTTTTTTTCCACGCGAACATTCTTACTTTACCATGTTATAGTAGTTCGTGCAGCAACACACGAGGAGTTGAATGCCAGGCAGGAAGTCAATTTGAATTCAGGATGTCATAGTTGCCATTAATATGCAGTCGCAATGGAATTCTTGATACAATTAGTAGCCCCTCTCTTTGCTGCACACATTGAAACCAGAGGAAACAGCTGTGGATTGTATGTGTGTGCTTTAGTGCAGACAGATGAGGGAGGCCAAGCTAACATTTCCGACTCAACGGTCACATCTTTTGCCAGCAATAACACGATTGACGTGATAATACAAACAAGTCTACTGATAAAACAGAGACTGCAATCAACTAGGCAGGTTATTCGGTGCAATGGAACCCTTGCAATGTGGCCTTTCCCCTCCCCCCCCCCCCCCCCCCGAAAACATAATTAACACAGGCCCCTGAATGTTTTAATATCACACAATACCCAGGCTTACTTACTTGGCAGCAGCGAAGTCACTGGAATTTTGTTTTGAAAGGGACATATTTAGCTCCTGGATACATTTACAGCATGTCTGGTCATTTATTTCAACAGCATGCAGCTAGCAATTAACTGGGACAGAGCTTTGACACTTTTTTTTTTTTGTGGAAACTACAGGAATACATCAATCATTAGATGTGCATGATGCAAGCATGGGTAAGAGAGTGGCTTTTTCTAACCCAAACAAAGTAACGAACTCAGCTGTGAATTTGCCCATTGTACAAATATATAAATTAAAGTGAAATAAGAAATCCATCCAAACAACAAATGATACTTGGGATTTTCACCCTTTGGCATTTTTCTTCTTTCTAAATCCTTAAAAGCAAAGAAGAACTGCTCTAGCTGACCCAATATTGTGAACAAAGCTGTCTCAAACAATCACCAAAACAGTATCAGTCTCATTCTTTTTTTACATGATGGACAGCATTGGATTATTTTATGAAGTGATTTGATTATTTAAAGGACACCTGCTTGGCATGACCTTTTTGTGAATTTCCTGTGTGCTTCTCTCACTGTCCCACTTTCAACATTACCTTCAATGTATAGCGTCTCTTCTTTGTTCAAGAAAAAAATAAATAAACGCCAATAGTCATGATCTAAGTGGTCAGGAAAGCTCAGTGTACTGTACAAGCCCAATTCCAATGCAATTGTGACGTTGTGTTAAACATGAAATCAAAACAGAATACAATCATTTGCAAATCATGTTCAACTGATATTTAATTTAATACACTACAAAGACATAATATTTCATGTTCAAACTGATAAACGTTCTTGTTTTTAGCAAATATGAATGTACAATTTCTGGCTGCAACACTTTCCCAAAAAGCTGGGACAGGTGGCAAAAAAAGACGAATAATGCTCATCAAACACCTGTTTTGAACATCCCGCAAGTGAACAGGCTAACTGGGAACGGGTGCATATTGATTGGGTTAATAAAAAAAAAAAAAAAAGCTTTTTTGAATTGCTCACTCGTCATCTACAGTCCATAACATCATCAAAAGGTTCTGAGAACTAACTAATCCAAAAATATATTGGCACTATTCGACACTCAGTGAATGCAAAAGACATTAAAACCTTGGATGTACTCTTTATTTATTTTCGACACTCTTCACATGTTAAAACACACACACACACACACACACACACACACACACACACACACACACACACACACACACACACATGCACACACGTACGTACATAATCCCCCACCCCGGATTTTAATCTTAATTTTTATTTCACATGAGTTGTTGCTGATGTCATTTTTTCTTAATTAACCTTGACCGCCATTATCTGTAAAACGCTGTAGCGCAGACCGTGCTTTAAAAAAAAAAGGCCTGCTTGCTTCCTCAAAACTCAAATTAATAACTTTAGCTTGCGATTAGGTGAATTTAATGAACCGAGCTACTCTGATTGTTAGACCAAGGTGAGCTCTTGAATTAATTGCATACAGAGGCAAATGTTCACTCTATCCTGTTGTTTTTATTGTGTGTGTGTGTGTGTGTGTGTGTGTGTGTGTGTGTGTGTGTGTGTGTGTGTGTGTGTGTGTGTGTGTGTCTTTGTATTTGAGCAGTGAGCTCTTGAATTAATTGCATACAGAGGCAAATGTTCACTCTATCCTGTTGTTTTTATTGTGTGTGTGTGTGTGTGTGTGTGTGTGTGTGTGTGTGTGTGTGTGTGTGTGTGTGTGTGTGTGTGTGTGTCATTGTATTTGATCATGCGTGATTGATAGATGTGTTTGTAGGTGCGACTGTCCTGCAAAAATCATGAGCGCCTCCTATTGTCAATGATGATGAGCCTTAGAAAAGCGTTTTCATTTGGATAATGATGCCACGATCATCTTTAATCTTGGTGGTCCATGCACACCTTTAAATATGTGCTTTTCCTCCTTTAAGTGTTCCGCACTCGCACGCATCCAATTAGCCACACCGTTTCTCCTCTCTGAATGACCACATGCATCTTTCCGTCCGACTCCGCTTGGTTAATGGTAATGACAGTTGTGTCTTTGTGAGCGTGTGCCACTGCCCCCGCTGCGAGTGTAAATGCGTTGAGATTTCCTTGCATGATCCGGGGTGTGTCGTAACTCATAGCTTAAGCAGACAATCAACTATTTCCAGACCTGCAGCCAAATGACAGTTAGCTCATTAAGCTGTGGTAGTGAGTGTGGCTCTAATCTATCATGAAGCCAGATAAGTCTCCTCTTGCTGGATATGACCTTCACCTTCCGCGAATGCATGTTTATAAGGTGGTTATTTTAATTATTGTGAGTGACTGTGATGGCTTTGCAGCGTAGAATCGATGGCAAGTAAACTCTTCACAATAATTCAAGGAACCGGTGTGATTTTAGATTAGAGTTTCAGGCTTGGCGCCGGGTCATGAAATCTTTTAGCAAATTCTGGCTAAACAGGATCAAAATCTCATAGCCATATTTGGATGTAGTTAACCACGACATCACGTGGGGCAGCCTGTTTCTCCACCGTCTCGCGACGTACGTCGCTCATGCATCCACGCGGCAGAGCCTTTGTAGCCAAATAACACAGAACACTTTTGGGAAGAGATACTTTTTCGGGTTGTGGGCATAACTTGATGGATAACTGCATGTTGTAAGCGTTTAAATGGGCCAAGTTATTCTCCGTAAGAACGTGACAATTGTGCCAAATTGCCCCAAATGAAATGAGAGCACTTATATCGCGGGGAGGGGGGACTCATGCTGTTCCTTGGTTGCATCAGCTCGTCCCCATTTAGGCCCGTCCCAAAAATTGGGACACCTGAGAGGGTGAAAAAGAGTTTTATGCTATTTTTTATCAATTCAGTAGTAAATGCATCTCAGTTTTCAACACATATTTGATGTATTTAAAACCACATACAAATTACTCTATAGGGTCTTTCATGCTTAGTTTTTATTTTAAACTATTATTGGAGTCCGATTTTCATGCAACACTTTTATTACATTTAACCGTGATCATTACTTTGGTGCATTTTATTTTCCTACATTAAGGCACAGTGTTAAGGTTGCACTGTGCTTAATGTTGCAGCGCCTTACGATAATAAATCCAAATGTAATTTTGGAATAAAACCTCTGCCTCATTTTTAAGAACACTTTGGCCCATTATAATGTTGGTCCTATGGTGGTACTTGTAGAGTGCAATTTTTTTAGCTGCTACTTCCTATAAAATGTTGGGAAACCACTGCCAAGTTGACTGATTGACATGTATTTGATTTATAATGCTAATACAGATTGTGATAACACAATATAAAAAAGGTGCCACATGCAGGTTTATTGCAACACATATAATAAACGTTATGTAATGATTACTGCAGTTAATTTTTAATTACAATTTTGTGTAATGCGTTACATCTTAATTTTTCTTGAATTGCTGAAATTGAAAAAAAAAATCTCAAGGAGACATGAATTGCATTTTTTTTATCTTTCTAATGCATGAAATTGCGAAAGCTTCCCTTGCTCAAGTGTATTCATGTTGCAGACATAAATCTAAATTAAGGTGGTGTAAAATCCAATTAATGATAAACATGATTCTCTGGTGGTTGCACTTCCAATGAAGAAGGTCCTCTTGTGTATTGCATGCCGGTTACCACAATAACCTTGAGTTAGATGTATTTACCATGGCGGTGTACTGTTCATGCCCAAGTGAAACTGAAGCTTTGTCTCAAGCGAGCTGTACAATAAAAAATACAAGTTGTGCTTGTCGTGGTACGGTTATGGTTCATCTTGATCTGGCATGTGTTTCCACCGCGGGCTATGTCGGCATCTTCATAGCAGGAGGACAGCATTCAGCTCGCCGATGAGTTAACTAAAGATGACGTGACACGGTACAAGGCGAATATTATCTGTATACTGTACAAGGAAGGCACTCTTAATTCCTTATTCCCATTTTTTTAATGCAGGCTATTCTGTTCATTCAGTCCATCGTAACAAGAACGTCTCACTTATCTTTCAGCTCATCAATGGGTGGCTCCAGTACTATACAGTACTGCGACTCCAGTAGACAGCTGCTGGAACATTTTCGGATCCTTGACGATAGAAAACAGCAAAAGATTCAAGACTGAATCCAACTGGACTGACTTATGTCGCTCAGTGGAAAAGGGTCTTTTGTTCACCTGTGCAATCTTTTCTTGGTTTTGTGTGTGTGTGTGTTTAGAGGGAGTATGTGAAATCTGGCTGACCAGTGAAGACACAGGAGCTTATGGTCGAGACATTGGGACTGACCTGCCCACTCTACTGTGGAGGCTAGTTGAGGAGATTCCTGAAGGGGCCATGCTCAGGCTCGGGATGACCAACCCACCTTATATCCTAGAACACCTTGAGGTATGTAAAACCTAAAACATCAGTACCCATTCATGACAAAGGGTAACATGAAATATTGCACAAACTCGATTGTAATGTGTTTAAGGAAGATATGTTTGACCAGACAGCTGACTGTAGAGATATGTCCTTTTTTTTTGTTGTTTTGTTTTTGTTTTTTTGTTCTGTCCCTGTGGCTTATTGTGTTCTCCCTTCTTGTGGACAAATATTGCTTTGTCTAGATTTAATAAACTAAATGCCTTTCCGTTTTGCTTAGCAAGCAGTATCGCTGCAAACCTCCATTCATTAGTGCAGTTCATTCTCCTCTCTCACTAATGAGTCAATTAAGGACCATTGTGTCCTCTTTAGTCGTCTCGTTTTATCAGTCGTTATTGCCTTGCCTAATGGAACAATGGACATTGTTATCCCGTCTTTCTCTCTCCGTTCAGGCTGCTCTTCGCCATGTGTCTTGTCAATCTAACTTACTATCATTGAAATCTCCCAATTTACACTCTATCTTTCTTGATTATATTTTTCTCCGTCTATTGTCTCGGTCAGTGGTAACAGACATGTCGTCAGGATTTTCAATAGGCAATGGGCTTACTAGCCCCTGCTTTCAGACAACATATTCATTTTTGGAGAAGGAAACAAACCAACATAGAAAAATATTGAAGGGGTGTTGAGGGAAAGATTAATATGAACAGTACTTCTTCTGTCTTTCTTACTACAGTTTTTTTTTTTCATCTCTAATTCATGCCATAATGACAAGATACTCTAGCGTGATGTTTTCCTTTTTTAAGTATGTTTAGAAGTTTACCTTTACCTGAAGCACAATTACCTTCTGGTGCTTAGGCTTTTTGGCAGAAGTCTGTCAAGGAGTAGGGTGTTTGAGCGACATTTCTGGGCGTCAATGGAGCACAAAAATGGGTGGATGGGTGCAAGTGCGTGCCTTATTAGTTAATAGTTGTATGTATGTTCTAAATATGTAAACCTGTGTGTTCTATTAGGGCTATAATGACTGAAACTGCATTTATATTTAAATATTATGGTGGTGCTTACTTTTTAACTTTTTTGGAAAGGGGAGAGGCAAGAGGGGGCGGAGTGTAACCTATGATTATGTGATTGCCAGTCATTTCCAGAAAGCAGTTCTTCTTATCTTTTTAAGATTACGATCAATCTCTGAGGAAATTCATTTGGAAACGTAGTAGAGAAAATTAAAAAGGGAGAAAGAGAGGTCTTGGAGGACTCAAACAGGGACTTCTAACCTAGAAAAAAAAAAGACACATCAGTAAAGTTCATAGCATACAGTTTATGCAGTTGAACCAAACAATTAAAGTTGATTGGCTATTATGAAGTGAAATGAGGACAGAACTTGGGGAAAAATGGGGATGAAGGCCCCGGGATAGATTTGAGGGGTAAAAAGGAGTGAGAACAGAGCTGTGGGATGTTGCATTGGAGGTTGCAATTAACCAGGGGTTAATGGAGGTGGCTAATTGTCCCCCACATGTATAGGTAGGGTTTCTGCTTGGCTACATTACAATTAAAAACCACCCTCCTAATGATAGGGAATAACAATTAACCGATAATTAGAAATATGCTAGGATGACACATTAGCGTGGGCTCTATGTGTGAATCTTAATAATCATTTCATATGCCGGCAACCCGTTTATTGTTAATGTCCATGCATTACATTGAATTATATCTTTTTTCCTTTTAATTCCTCAGTCAATTAACCTACATAAGAAAAGATAAGAGTCATCTTCCCTAACTTATCTGTGCCTTTTGTTGCTCTTGTCCCCCATTTACCCTTTCTTCATTCAACTTCCACCCACACTTCACTTCTTGATTTGTTTCCCACCCACTGACAAAACCCCCCTTTCTTGACCTACTTGTAAACGCCACATTGATGACTATTTATTGGCACCAATGTATAGTTTTTGTTGAATTATTTTCTGTTTACTTCACACGGGGCTGATTAGTACTGTAATGGTTCAAATAGCAGGCAGATCGTCGAAGAGGGTAGCACATTTGCCTCACAGTTCTGAGGTTGGGAGATCAAATCTGAGTTCTGGCCTTCCTATGTGGAGTTTGCACGTTCTCATGACACTTGTGTAGGTTTTTCTTGGTACTTGTCCCACATTCCAAAAACAGGCATGTTAGGTTCATTGTACTTACATGTAATTGGGATTTCTAATGTTTATACTTTTTTTTTTTTTTTTTGCGTGTGTCAAGACAAATTCGCTCACCTTGTCTACAGTTTCAACTGTCAACACTCTGTCAACATACCGGTTGGTACCCACAGTAGCTACAGATAAAACCTGCTCCTTTTCAGCTGCGCGCCGACAGCAGTGCTAAAATAGGAGGTGGAAGTGGTCAGCGTTCATGAAAGTGGATAGCACACATCAAATTGTGCCAAAACCACCACATTATTATCCAAAAAAATCCTCACATTAAGTATCATATGAGAATGAAAGCATTGTCTTTTTAAACAAACCCTTGGTACCAGGTGATGACTTTTTTTTTTTAAATAACCCTTCAACCCTTTGTACAAGCCCCTCAACTTTTTATTACATCACATTGCACAGCCCTTCCGAGGCTGCTTTCTGCAATATGTCTTAATTTTGCCAATGATCGTCAAAGGGTGAAATGCGCACTGCAGAGTGAGCAGTCACTTGCATCCCCTCTCCCTCTTAATTTTTTACAGTTCAGAAGTATCTCCTTTTTCCACCTGTAAATTTTTCCACTTGTTCTAATTGCAATAGTTTATCCAGTTTTTATAGCTGCCAACATGACGGCAGTAATCACAGCAATAAGAATGGTTTGATGATGAAGGTCAAAAGTCGATCCAGTCGTCATGTCGAGTGATGGCCAAATGACACCCTTTTCATTTGAACAAGAACAGCGCTTATACTGTAAAACAGAATTGTAGTAAATGGCTACGATTGAAAGTGAAAATGTTAAGTCACCTCTTCTTCTGAGAAGTTCACCTCCACGCGCACTCACACACATTTTTCTGCGCCTTGTCTCCCTCTGACACCCAAGAACACGCAATTTCTCCTCATGTGCTGCCTTTTCCTTTTCTCTCTTTTTTTCTTTTTTTTCCCCCCTGTCAGACAACCTCAGTACCATTTGCTGATTGGAGCAGTTACAGGCCGACTCTCCTCTCGGTCTTCTGCTCTCTGATGTTTTAGTTGATTGCATTCAGCAATCAGTATTTCATTTTAGAGTAGTTTAAAGTAAAATGCCACCATTTTTGTCCCTCACTTTTCTGCCATTTTTAGCGAGTCCTCCCGCGATCCATCAAACCACCTGCTAATAAATTGCTCAATGGCTGTCAAAGGTGCATCATTTTATCCTTTGATCGTGTAAGGTGTCTGTGCACATACATGATGATACCTGTGAGGCTGCTTTTGCAAGCCCGCGTGTGATTGAGCTGAGCATGGTAGCAGCAAATGAGCTGTGAAAGTAGCCCCGTACGAAGCAATCAGCCGGGCTGAGATGAATGAAATTGCTCTTGTCCATTAAACATCCTCCTCAAACCTCCTCTGAGCTTGACCAGAGAGCCATTAGATAGGCTGTTCACACATTCCACACTCAGCGATGTGCAGTCATGGGTTTATGCATGACTGTACAAGCTCCGAGGAGTTTACTTTACGTTTTGTGATGCTTTATTTAACAAAACTCCTGCCGTTCCAAGACATCTACTGCTTAGCAAAATCCATTCAAATGATTACTGATGCGATGTTTTGAACTTTTTTTTTTTTTTTTTGCCTATGAATACGTTGTTCCAAACTATGAGACGATAGCATCTCCTTGATCCAATGTAGCAATGTTGGTCTCACGTGCAAGCATAAAAAAATAAAAATAAAAATGCAATCTAATGTGACTCAGATATCTATGTCCCAACACAGGAATTTTAATGTAAATGTTGCCAAACGTGCACCCTGAAAACTGGGTTTGACATTACAGTTTTGCATCTTGCATAACAATAATACGATTTATTCAAATTGGATACGAGACGGCTATATTGTTTGTTTGATTTGTTTTTTTTTTTTGGTTTGTTTTTTGGGGGTTTTTTTTGACTGACATTATCAATGTGTCACTTCACAACAAATTTTAATTTGAGCGTTGTGGGACTGCCCAAAAAACCCCAGCAACAACAAAAAAAAAAGAAATTACACTTTTGAAATTTGTACATAGAAAGTTTTGCTAGCGCTGTCAAGAGATTAAAAAGGTGAGATTAATTAATTGTGATCTTTAATTAATTGATCCAATTAATCTATATTTTAATCTCATCAAAACATTGCTGAGAAACCCCCTATTTTCGTTTTAAATTCATTACATTATTGAGCATTGAGGCAGATCAAAAGATTCACATCACAAAAAAAGTGGTATTATAAAGTATTTTATTGTTTTTAAACAGACTTGAACAGATGCAGTCCAAGCCATTTTCTTTCTGCTGTATTTGAGACTAATCCCAAATCCTACCTGCAACCTTTAGTTTCGACCACCAGGGGGAATATCACTGTTTTGTTTTTGTAACAAATACCAAATAATATCCCACACACATTTCTCACCTTCACACGAGACATGCGGACAAGCAAACTACATGAGCGCACGCACTTAAGACGGCACCGTCTCACGACCATTTTCATTTTAATGAAGCCTTTGGGGGCCTCTTCACATTAGTGGCTTAATGTTGCATTGTGCCAGGGATCCCGCACCAAATGAAGCCCCACAGTAAAACTGTTCTCATATGTCTCTTAATTATGACCTCCGACTTCCTGCACAGTCTTTTGTTTTCTGAATGATGGTAATCACATTCAAGGGTTCCTGGAGACCATAATTCGCTCTCCTTGTTGGAGATTGAAAATGTTCCGTTTCTTTCCGATATGGTTACAGACTATTAGGAGCAAAACAACACATTCAGAATGGCATCTGGTGAACACCGACTTAAAGCAGGAGGCCTGTCGTCTAGCGTTTTAACTAGCCACAGAATATCTTGCTTATGCGTGGCTGTTTCC